GTTGAAATAATGAGGCCTTGATGAAGGTATCTTTCTGGAGAGAGGATTAGAATTTGCACCATCGTTCACGATCCTTGCTATACTCGAGCCAGTTGTTGGAGCCACTGTGTCAATCTATCTCATTGAGAGTCTTCCCCTTTTCCTCTGATCTTCCACTTTAACAAGCATGGTATCCTTCTCCATGGAATTGCCCCTTCTGATAACATGACCAAAGTAGCTGAGACAAAGTCTGGCTATCTCGCTTCCAAGGAGCATTCTGGCTGTTCCGTTTCCAGGACAGATTTGTTCATTCTTCTGGCAGTCCATTGTGTTTTCAGTATTCTTCTCCAAGACCATAATTCAAAGGCATCAGCTCTTGTTTTGGTCTTCCTTAGTTGTTGTCCAGCTTTCACTTGCATACGAGGCAGTTGAAAATACCATGGCTTGGCTTAGGTACACCTTAGTCTTCAAAGTGACATCTTTGTTCTTCAATACTGCTTAAAGAGATCTTTTGCAGCAGATTTGCCCAGTGCAGTATGACATCTGATTTCTTGACTGCTGCTTCCATGGGTGTTGATTGTGGATCTAAGTATGAAATTCTGAATAACTTCCAATCTTTTCTCTATTTATTGTGATGCTGCTTATTGGACCAGTTGAGAGGATTTTTGCTTTCTTTATGTTGAGGTGTAATCCATACTGCAGACTGTAGTTTTTAATCTTCATCAGTAAGTGCTTCAAGTCATCCTCACTTTCAGCAAGCAAAGTTGTGTTGTTCAGCATATTACAGTTTGTTAATGAGTTCTTCCTCCAATCCTCATGCCACATTCTTCTTCATATAGTCCAGCTTCTCAGATTATTTACTTAGCATACAGATTGAATAAGTATGGTAAAAGGATACAACCCTGATGCACACCCTTCCTGATTTTAAAACATGCAGTATCCCCTTGTTCTGTTCGAACAACAGCCTCCTGGTCTATGTATAGGTTCCTCATGAACACAATTAAGTGTTCTGGAATTCCTATTCTTCTCAGTGTTATCCATAATTTGTTATGATGCACGTATTCAAATGCTTTAGCATAGTCAGTAAAACACAACTGAAAATCTTTCTGGTATTCTTTCAGCCAAGATCCATCTGACGTCAGCAAAGACGTTGTTTCACGTCCTCTTCTGAATCCAGCTTGCATTTCTGGAAATTCCCTATTAGTATACTGCTGTAGCCATTTTAAAATTATCTTCAGCAAAGTTTTACTTGCATGTCATATTAATGATACTGTTCAATAATTCCCAAATTCTGTGGGATCACCTTTCTTTGGAATGGGTACAAATATGGGTCTCTTCCAGTCAGTTGGCCAGGTAGCTGTCTTCCACATTACTTGCCATAAACAGGTAAGTACCTCCAGTGCAGCATCTGTTTGCTGAAACATCTCAAAGGGTATTCTCTCAATTCCTGGAACTTGTTTTTCACTAGTTCCTTCAGTGGATCTTTGACTTCTTTCTTCAGTACCATTGGTTTTTGATCATATGCTACCTCCTAAAAGAGCTGAACATTGACCAGTTCTTTTTTGTATAGTGATTCTCTGTATTCTTTCCATCTTCTTTTGATGCTTTCTGAATCATTCAGTATTTTGCCAATAGAATCTTTCAGTATTGCAACTCAAGGCTTAAATTTTTTTCTTCAGTTCTTTCAGCTTGAAAAATGCTGAGCATGTTCTCCCTTTTTGGTTTTCTAACTCCAGGTCTTTGCTTGTTTCATTATAATAATTGACTTTGTCTTCTTGAGCTGCTCTTTGAAATCTTCTGTTCTGCTCTTTTATTTTGTCATTTATTCCATTTACTTTAGCTACTCACTGTTCAAGAGCAAGTTTCAACATTTCTTCTGACATCTATTTTGGTCTTTTCCTCCTTTCCTGCCATTTTAATGACCGTTTGCTTTCTTCATGTATGCTATTCTTGATGTCATCCCCCAATTCGTCTGGCTTTTGGTCATTGGTGTTCAATGCATCAGATCTATTCTTCAGAATGTTTCTAAATTAAGGTCAGATAAAATCAAGGCATAGTTCGGCTCTTGTGGACTTGTTTTAATTGTCTTCAGCTTCAGTTTGAACATGCGTACGAGCAGTTGGTGGTCTGTTTCATAGTCAGCTCTTGGCCTTGTTTTGGCTGAAGATACTGAGCTTCTCCGTCGCCTTTTTCCACAGATGTAGTTGATCTGATTCCTGTGTATTCCATCTGGTGAGATCCATGTGTATAGCTGCTGTTTATGTTGTTGAAAAAAAGATATTTTCAATGAAGAAGTCGTTGCGTTGGCCTTGCAAAATTCTGTCATGTGATCTTCAGCCTTATTTCAGTCTCCAAGGCCATATTTCCCAACTACTGGTGATTCTTCTTTGTTTCCAACTTTTTCATTCCAATCACCATTAATAATCAATACATCTTGATTGCATGTTTTTCTCAATTTCAGACTGCAGAAGTTGGTAAAAATCTTTAATTTCTTTCACTTTAGTGGTTGGTGTATAAATTTGAATAATAGTAGCATAGTAGTAGTAGGTCTTCCTTCTAGGGGTAGGGATATTATCCTATCACTGACAGCCATTGTATGTCAGGATAGATCTCGAAACATTGTGATGATGAATGCTACACTATTCTTCCTCAATTTGTCATTCCCATTATAGTGCATCATATTATTGTCTGATTAAAAATGGCCCAAATCAGTCCATTTCAGCTCACTAATGCCTAGGATATCTATTTTTATGTATTCCATTTCATTTTTGACAACTTCCAATTTTCCTACATTCATGTTTTGTACATTCCACATTCTGATTATTAATGGATATTTATAGCTGTTTCTTCCCATTTTGTGTTGTGCCCCATAAGCAAATGGCAGTTCTGAGAGCTTTACTCCATCCACATCATTAAGGCCAACTCTGGTTTGATGAGGCAGCTCTTCTTCCCAAGTTGTATTTTGAGTGCCTTCGACCTGAGGGGCTCATCTCCTGGCACTATATCAGACAGTGTTTCAGTGCTATTCATAAAGTTTTCCAGTAATATATCAGACAGTGTTTCATTGCTATTCATAAGGTTTTCACTGGCCAGTTTTTTGAGAAGTGGGTGGTCCTTTCCTTCTTCCCAGTCTTTCTTAGTCTGGAAGCTCTGCTGAAACCTGACCACCATGGGTAATCCTTCTGGCATTTGAAATACCGATGACATAGCCTCCAGCCTCACAGCAACATGCAAGCCACCATAGTATGATAAACTGACAGATGAGTGATGGGTATAACAAATAGTGGGTAGAAGAAAAAAATCAGTATAACAAATAGTGGTTATAAAAAATTCCTATTCCCCTGGAAGCAGCAGTCAAGAAATCAAACAATGTACGGGGAAAATCTGCTACAAAAGATGTTTCTTAAAATGTTAAAGAGCATTAAAAGAGCATTAAAGAGCAAAGATGTCACCTTGAGGACGAAGGTGCACCTGACCCTAGCTGTAGTCTTATGAATTGCTTCATAGCATGTGAGAACTGGACAATGGATAAGGAAGACCAGAGAAAAATTGATGCCTTTGAATTATGGTATTGGCAAAGAATATTGAATATACCATGGACTCTGCCAAAAGAATGAACAAATTTGTCTTGGAAGAAGTAATGTCAGAATGCTCCTTAGAAGCAAGGATGGTACTTTGGACATGTTATCAGGAAGGACCAGTTCCTGGAGAAGGACATCATGCTTGGTAGAGGGTCAGGGAAAAAGAGGAAGATCCACAATGAGAAGGATTGACACAGTAGCTGTAACAATAGGTTCAGACATAACAACAATTGTGAGGATGGCACAGGACCTAGCAGTAATTCATTCTGTTGTACACAATAGGGTCACTGTAAGTCGGAACCAACTCAGTGTCACCTAACAACAACAAAGTAGAAGTGACATTACCTAAATATGTTTAAAAGAGTCTGGTAGCAAAATTGGTTTGTGATCGGCTGCTAATCTAAAGATTGGTGGTGTGAACACACCCAGGGCCTCTAAGGAAGAAAATCCTTCTTAGCTGCTTCAATAAAGATTACAGCCAAGAAAACTGCATGGAGCAGTTGTACTGTGTAATACATAGGGTCACCATTAGTTGGAATAGATTTGATGGCAATAGGTGTAAATGTGTTTATATAAACTTACAAAGTTATAAAAATATTTACTTTTGATATTTACTCTTGGAAGAACATTTGGAAAATGGAAAAATGGGGGAAAAAAAACCCCTCTAATTCCTATACCACCCATTTATAACCCTACCCTTAGTTTTCTTCCCTTCTTTCCTTTTTATGCCAAGGTGCTTATTTTTGAAAAAGAATACTTATAATCATGCTTAATATGCGATTACACATTCTGTGCTTATCAGCTACCACTGTAAATATTTTTCCATGTTATTATATAGTTTTCATGACCATCAAATAGCTGGGCCATTATTTACTGAACAATGCCCCATTGTTGAACATTTAGGCTAACAGTTTCTAGCTGTTCCATATAATTATTTTGAACAAATGTTCCTAAGAAACCCATTGTGTGCCTACCTTTCATTACTTGATCAACTCTGTCATATGTTTGAGCCTCATAACTTAGAGAATAATTCTGGGTTGACTTTTTATTGTGACTTCACAGTCATACTGTGTTAAAGTAGATTCTCTTTCCTAATTTTACTAATTATGTGTTAGGTTTAAAGTTGATGCAAGGAAACATCATATGCCCTGGCAGTTTTTCTTACAACTTAAGGAGTACAATTCTAATTTTATACCAAGTTTTAATGAGTATATTCAAAGTGTTGTTGTTATGTGCCGTCGAGTGGGACCCAACTCATAGCGACCCCTCCTTGGGTTTCCGAGGCAGTATCACTGCGGAAGTAGATTGCTCCATCTTCCTTCCAAGGAGTGGCTGGTGGGCGTGAACCGCCAGCCTTCTGGTTAGCAGTCAAGTGCCTTAGACACTATGCTGCCAGAACTCCTAATATTCAAAGTAAAAAACAATATATGTTTTTAATAGGTTGATCAAAGGATTAGTTTTGGATCATGGAGCCCGTCATCCAGATATGAAGAAGCGAATAGAAGATGCTTTTATCCTTACTTGCAATGTATCACTAGAATATGAAAAAACGTATGTATGCCAGTTTCTCTTTATAACTTTATGCAATTTTTTTCTAAAAGTGTTTTTTAAATTTCCTCCCTGCCAGTTGTTTAGTATGGACTCCACCTACCTTTCCCTTCTTTTTTTCCCCTACCTTTACTAGCTTATTTTTATTAATCCTTTAGAGAGGTGAACTCTGGTTTCTTTTATAAGACTGCAGAAGAGAAAGAGAAATTAGTAAAAGCTGAAAGAAAATTTATTGATGATAGAGTACAAAAAATAATAGACCTGAAATACAAAGTCTGTGCTCATTCCAACAAAGGATTTGTTGTCATTAATCAAAAGGTGAGAAAGAAAGTACTGATTATAATTATTTGTAAGTGTTCTTCAGTGTTTCCCAAAATATGGTCTTGGACCTCTAGGAGTCCCTAAGACCCTTTCGGGGTGTCTGTGAGGTCAAAACTATTTTCATAATATTAATAATAATGCCCTTTTCACTGTGTTGATATTTGGATTGATGGTGCAAAAGCAGCGGTGGGCAAAATTGCTGGTGTCTTAGCACAAATCAAACCAGTGGTGTCAGACTACCAATAGCTACTGCATTGTTTACTAATGCACCACCAGACATATATATATATATATATATGCTGTGGTGGCATAGTGCCTAAGGCATGTGACTGCTAACCAGAAAGCTGGTGGTTCAAACCCACCAGTCACTCCTCAGAAGAAAGAGTGGGCAATCTACTTTCGTAGTGATACCGCTTTAGAAACCCAAATGTATGCGTGTATATATATAGATATATATAGCCAATTTCATTAAAGAATGTCTTGATGAAGTAGTTAAAAAGTATTAATTTTGTTAAAATTTTATTTGTAAATATGCATCCTTTTATAATTCTGTATAATGAAATGTGAAATATGCACAAAGCACTTCTGCTGCATACTATAATATGATGGTTGTGTTGAAGGAAAGCTGTGGTGCAGTTGTTTGAGTTGGAGGTTAAACTAGTCACTTGTTTTCATAGAACTCCATTTGTGCTTGAAGGAATGACTGACAGAAAAACTATTGTTATTTAGTATTTTGTATTTGGTAAATTTTTGCTCAAGAATGGAGTGATCCTTTAAGGAAAACAATTGGCAGTATTTGTTGCCAGTGGTAACATTTGAGCTTTCAGATGAAGTTAGAATTTTTGTAATATTCATATCTGTATTCAAACATTCTTAATACTTAAAAGACTTTTCTGATAATATCAATGGTGATACTAACAAATGCAGTTTTTAAAAATATTGCAGAACCATGTACTATGTCAACATTTGGAAGCTCTGCCTAACTCTGTGAATCAGTGTTTTCCAAATAACTAAACAAATGCATTATTTCATGAAACCATCATGGATAAATAATTCATTCAATGTGTAAGATACACTAACAGATTTTAATGTAATAGAGTATGAAAAGCTATTTCTGTGTTTCATATTCTACATTAAAACTAAACACATTAAAACTTGTTGAGTTTTGGTATAGTATCAAAAACAATATGTTAATTTTTCTGAAAAGTCTATTAAAATACTACTTTTTCCAAGACATATCCGTGTGTGGCCAGATTTTCTTCATATACTTTAACCAAAACAGTGTATCGCAGTAAATTGAACACAGAAGTAGGTATGAGAATTAAGTTTTCTTCTTTTAAGACAGACATTAAAGAGATTTGTAAAAAAATGTAAAATAGTGCTACTGTTCCTCATTATATTTGTTTTTGAAAATATGATAAATTTTCATAAAAATGTTACTTATGTTAATATGAAATGGAATTACTATTTTAAAATGGATTAATAAGCAGTTTTGGAATTTCTCAGTTTTAATTTATAATAAATACCGAAAGATACAGCTCACATAAACAGAACCATTTTGGGGGTTCTTAATAATTTTTAAGGGTGTGAAGTGATGCTGAGGCCAAAAAGTTTGAGAACTACTTGCTTAAAATATCCATGTCACCATTATTCTAATTTGATTATAGGGAATTGATCCACTTTCCTTAGATGCTCTTGCAAAACATGGCATAGTAGCTCTCCGCCGAGCAAAGAGAAGAAATATGGAAAGGTAAGTTTGCAAATAACGATATATCCTCAATTTTTTGACAGATTAAATTGAAATGATCCCATTTGTATTCCTTTTTGCTTATATGTATACATTATTATGCAAAAAATAATGTACAAATTCCAAATTTTGTTCTAAATTTCAGTAAATAATTGAACTGTCAAAAATCAAAGTTGTGAACCTAACTCAGAACTTTGTTGAAGTATGAAGAAGGTTTTTATCTTCTTAAATCAGATTTTAAAAGCATTGTGACAATACTGTTGTCTGAGTTAGATTTCTTTCCATCTTTAATAAGTTAGTCTTTATGTTTTCCATAACCAAAACTATGGTGACATGTATAATTTCAGACTATCTCTTGCTTGTGGTGGAATGGCTGTGAATTCTTTTGAAGACCTTGCTGCAGATTGCTTGGGACATGCTGGTCTTGTATATGAATATACATTAGTAAGTGTTTCTGTGAGCTGTGGTTATAAAGTGAATATTAAACCTTTTAATTTTAAATATTGAAACTTTTAATTCAGGTTTTACATTTTGAGGTCCAAAAGTAGATCTTGCAACTTATTTACTTAAATGTTTGTTCAGAGTTCCAATATAACTTAACTACATTTAACATATCTTTAGAAAAATTTACATGAAGATTGGATTCTAATATTATAAACTTAGTCTTGATTTCATAATTATAATAAATATTCAAGTTATAATTTCTTGTATTATCCTTTAGGGTGAAGAAAAGTTCACTTTTATCGAGGACTGTGTTAACCCTCTCTCTGTCACCTTATTGGTTAAGGGACCAAATAAGCATACTCTCACACAAATAAAGGATGCCATAAGAGATGGACTTCGGGCTGTCAAAAACACAATTGAAGATGGTAAGCTCTGTTTTTTGATAGATATGAACTTCATATATTTTCTATGTGGTAATAAATGTACCTTGATATATATGATAGTTTAAAAGATAGGTGTGATTTCTATTCTCTCATTTCACTTTGGACAATTATAGTTTGGATTGGGAGCTCTGGTAGCATAGTGCCTAAGGCACTTGACTGCTAATCAGAAGGCTGGCGGATCAAACCCACCAGCCACTCCTCAGAAGGAAGGTTGGGCAATCTACTTTTGCAGTGATACCGCCTTGGAAACCCAAGGAGAGGTTGCTGTGAGTTGGGTCCGGACTCAATGGCAGATAACAACAACAACAACATAGTTTGGATTGTGAGCATTCTTGTTTAGAATATTTTTGATAGTCTGCTGCCCTTTTAATTAACTTCTGTTTATGAAATAAAGCACTTACTACAAGAGTATCACTTTGTATTTTGAAATTTATTTTTAAAACTTCCAAAAATGAAGTAAAATCAGATAAAACTCACCACATTATCTCAGTACAGTGTAATTTTAAGAACAATTAGGAAGAATATTAGCATTTGTTATTTATTGATAATTTATAAACAAATTCCTTCTAAAAGGAGTTGGAGTAGATAATTTAATAAAAGTATACATATTTAAAATAGAATGATGAGGCCATGAAGAAATGCTCAACATCATTACCCATTGCCATTGAGTTGGATGCGACTCATAGTGACCCCTCCTTGGGTTTCTGAGGCTGTATCACTATGGAAGTAGATTGCCCAACCTTCCTTCTGGGGAGTGGCTGGTGGGTTTGAACCGCCAGCCTTCTGGTTAGCAGTCATATGCCTTAGGCACTATGCCACCAGAGCTCCCTCCATTAGGCATTACGGAAATGCAAATCAAAACCAAAAAGAGCATTTCATAACCACTGCGACGATGAAGATGTGAAGAAATTGGGACTCCTTGCACACTGCTGCTGGAAATGTAAAATGATACAGTAGCCTTGGAAAACAATTTGACAGTTCCTCAAAAAGTTAAACAGAGTTACTATATGACCTAGCAATTCCACTCCTACGTATATACATAAGAGAGCTGGGAACGTATGTCTGCACAAAAATTTGTATACTGATGTTCATAGCAGCATTATTCATAATAGCCAGAAAGTAGAGACAAACATCCCAGTTTGGTGAGTGGCGACTGGGATCTTAAAAGCTTGTACACAGCCATCTGAGATACAACTATTGGTCTCTATTCTTCTGGAGCAAAAGAGAAAGAAGGAAACAAAGACTTAAAAGAAGAAACTAGTCTACAAAATTAATAGCCTACACAAACCATGGCCTCTTCTGTCCTGAGATCAGAACTAGATGGTGCCTGGCTACCACAACTTAACATTCTTATGATGGACACAATATATAATAGACACGATATAAGGTCCTGGATAGAATGGGAGAAAAATGTACAAACTCAGATTCTTAAAAGACTAGACATTAACTGTACTGGTAAAGATTACAGGAACCCCCAAGGCTATCATCATGAGATACCCTTTAAACTTTGTACTGAAACCACACCCAGAGGTCACCCTTAGGCTAAACAACAGTTTGGCTCATTAAATAACAATATCACCTGTGAGTACTATGCTCCTTTAAAAGATCATCTATATGATACCAGATAGTCAACATTTACCCTAAAACAAAGATGAGAAGGTAAGTGGGGTCAGGGAAGCTAGATTAATGGGAATGGAACAACCAGAATGGAAATAATAAAAATGTAGACACATTGTGAAAAATATAACCAATGTCATTGAACAGTATGTATAGAAATTGTTCAATGGAAACCTAATTTGCTGTATAAATGTTCACCAAAAATACAATAAAATAATAAAAAAATGGAAATAACCCAGATATTCATTAGCTGATAGATGGATAAACAAAATGCATTATATCTATAAAATAGAGTATTATCTGACTATGGAAAGTAATGAAGTATTGATATATACTTGTAGGGATTGACACATACATGACCTCAGGGAATCTGTGAGGTAAAAATAATTTTCATAACATTTATTAGTAATAATGCCCTTTTTGGTATGTTGATATTTACACTGATGGTACAAAAATTATGGTACATAAAACTGCTGGCACTTTAGAGCATGGATAAGCCTTGAAAACATTATGCTATGTGAAAGAAGCCAGATACAAAAAAACACTTACTACATGATTTTTTTTTATAAGAAATGTCCAGAATAAGTAAATTCATACAGACAAAAAATAGATTAGTGGTTGCTAGTCGTTGTGGGGCAGGGACAGGGAGTAATTGCTAATGGGTAAGGATTTTTTGAGGTGATGAAAATGTTCTGGAATCATGTAGTAGTGATGGTTGAATAACCTTGTGAATATACTAAAGACCACTGACAAGTACATTTTGAAAGGGTGAATTTTGTGGTATGTGAAGTATATCTGAATTTTAAAAAGCATAATTTTATAAACAAGGGGTCAGATTTGTCTAATAGGCAAAAACATAGAAGTGAAAAAATGGTAAAATAAAAGTTGAAGCAGAAAATTGGAACCTGAGAAAAAAGAATATAAATATAGCAGACATAATGTTGTTGTGTTGTGTGCCCTCGAGTTGGACCCAACTCATAGCGACCCCTCCTGGGTTTCCGAGGCAGTATCACTATGGAAGTAGATTGCCCAGCTGCAAAAACGGCGAGGAGGCCACATGTTCTGACCACCTCTAATCCCGCAAGAGAAAGACAGGATTACCAGCAGTGACCCAAGGCCTATTCCTGCCAGGCCAGACATGCTGCCTCCCTCCAGCCCTTTCTCCAACCGTTCCTCCCAAAGCACCCACCACCTCTCTCCTGGGTTGGATAATTCACTGCAGTGGCCACACAGAGCTCACAGATTACGGAGTTTATTAGGGAAGCACCATAGGCTACAATTCAAGTTCAGGAAAAATGCTCAGTCTCTCTCCCAGCCCACCATCCCTCAGCCAACAGTCTTTCACAGTCTCTTTTCCAGCAGTGCTGGTCCCTTGGTGTCTCACTCAGCAATGTATGTCTCTTGCGTCTCTTTCCCAGCAGCACGTGTCTCTTTCAGGGGCGCATGTCTCTTTGGGCAGCACATCTTCCTCAACCAGCAGTCAGAGAGAGTTCTGCCTCTAGGATGCCTCCTTTTGAGCCTGGCAGAGTGGCCAAACTAGCCAATCATAGCATCAGAACTCTAAGCACTTGAGAGAGAGTGGGCATCTCCCAGAACATTGTTTTGTGCCACTCCCAACAGAAATACTCCAGGTGGACAACTTCAGCAATCAGGAGCTCCTCAGTTGCTCATAAAAAATCCCACCTTGGAGTTTACAAAGACTTATGGGTAGAAAAGCCACACTAAGTAATTTACTACACCACACCAGCCTTCCTTCCGAGGAGTGACTGGTGAGTTTTGAACTGCCAGCCTTCTGGTTAGCAGTCAAGTGCCTTAGGCACTATGCTACCAGAGCTCCCAGCAAACATAATAGTCACTATAAATATTGAAGTGGCTAGAATATAAAGAGAGCCACTCCATGGAAGGAAGACTGGGCAATCTACTTCCGTAAAAATTTACTGCCTTGGAAACCCAAAGAGGGTCACTATGAGTCAGAATCAACTAGATGGCAGTTAGGTTTTTTTTTTTTTTTTTTTTAGTATAATCAGTTATATATGTTTTACTGAAAAAAGAAAATACCTAAGTTCCTAAGTGAAAATAATATGGAGCTTTATATAAATAAATGGCATGGTCTACATTTTGTTATCATTGTTGATAAAACCTGGCAGAGTTTTTTCAAGAAAAATAATAAATAAATAAATAAATAAATAAACAACCAATCAATAAAAAGCATGTATAAAAATATAAAATCCATGAATGAAGCCTTCGGTAGTTCATGATACTTAGAATTTAGAATACACAGAAGAATGGCTGGACTACTATTTTTTTAATCATTTCAACCAGTTAGTTTTTTTTTTTTTTTAAACCCATATATTTATTGAGCTGAAACCCATTAATGGGGAAGAGATAGTTTCTTTAACAAATGCTGCTGGCAACACTGGATGTCCATTTTCAGAAAAATGAAACAAGATCCGTACCTCAAACCATACACAAAAACTAATTCAAGATGGATCAGAGAACTTAAATGTAAAACCTAAAACTATAAAGTTCATCAAAGAAAAAATAAGGGCAAACTTAGGGCCCCTAATACATTGTATAAATAGACTATGAAACAACTAAAAGTATGCAGATAGTAGAAGATAAATTAGATGACTGGGACCTTCTAAAAATTAAATTCTTATGCCCATCAAAAGATTTCTCTGAAAGTGTAAAAAGAGAACCTACAGATTAGGAAAAAATATTTGGCAACAACATATCTGACAAAGGACTTATCTCTAAAATTTATAGAAAACCAGTACCTCAATGTCAAAAACACAGAAAACCCAATTAAAAATAGGCAGAGGACATGAACTGACACTTCACCAAAAAAAATATTCTGGTGGCCAACAAACATGTGAAGAAATGCTATTAGCCAGCCGTTAGAGAGATGCAAATCCTAAACAACGATGACATATCGTCTCATCCCACCAGATAGTAATATTCAACAAGACAGAAAATAGCAAATGCTGGAGAGGTGTAGAGAGATTGGAACTCTTAAACACTGCTGGTGGGACTGTAAAATGATACAACCATTGTGGAAAACGATGTGGTGCTTCCTTAAAAAGTTGGAAATAGAAATACCATTTGATCCAGCAATCCCATTATTAGATATATATCCTAAAGAAGTGAGATCCAGCATGCAAATAGATGTATGCACACTCATGTTCATTGCAGCACTGTGCACAATAGTGAAGAGATGGAAACAACCTAAGTGCCCATCAATGGATGAATGGTACATTTGGTACATATACACAATGGAATATTGTGCAGCACTAAAGAATAATGAAGACTCCATGAAACACCTTATAACATGGATAAACCTGGAGGATATTATGCTGAGTGAAATT